TGGATATCTCTCAAATACTTTTACCATCAACGCTAGTGTTCCCCAGATATCTATATTGTCTCCAACTCTCTGTCTATTATATATTAACGACTTATTGGAAAAAACCAAGAATCCAATATATTGCTTTGCTTTGCACACTTTTGTTTCGTCATTCCATTTGGATTTCAGGACATCGGCCGCGGATTCACATCTTCACCGGTAGCAGGAGATTGCAAAAGCTTCTCAAAAGCTTGGAACATTGTCCTGAACCAGAAAACTGTACACACCTCAGCAACTTTTGATGCTTCACAAAGCTCAGATCAGACCTTCTTTGGAGTATTGTTCTCATGTATAAAACTCCGCTTCTAAGCATAACCTGAAGTGGCTGGATTCTATCCAGAAAAGAGCCATGTGCATGATTGGAGACGCGAACCTCACTTGCAATTTTGATAGTCTGGAACATCGAAGAAAGGTTAAAGATTTGTCTCTCTTCCATAGATACTGTCATGGAAAGTGTTCAAATGTCATTTGATTCTACCAAGAGTGATACATATCAGAAATACGCGACTGACTGTGGCTGCTAATCGTTTTGAGGTTCAACTCAGTACACCTCGAATTCCACTGTTTAAGAACCCTTTCATTTGGAGAACTACGATTATGTGGAATAAAATACCTGAACACGTTTTTCCATATTTATGGATTTAATCTTCAGCGATTCAAATCCAATGTGAATCACTACTTTCGCAGAGGCACCGCTCACAGAGGGCCTCAAGGATTTTCCTGTAGTGCTTGTGTTTTGTTGAAAAAAAACAAAAACACTAAAAATTGTTAAAGATATTGTGATGTTCCTTTTTCTGTGCCAGTGTGAAGGTAAGTGAGTATGAATATAGTTATTTAGTCTGGCAGTGGCACAGAAAAATGAACAGCATAGTATCTTGGACATTTTTCTCTAGTGAAAAAGGTACACTTCGATGTCAAAGTTCAGAACATTTCAATTTTTGAATTTTTGTTAAAAAGATAAGCAACTTTTGTGCTTAGTTTCTCTCTACGTCGAGTACCGCTATATTGAATTTGGATGAATGGTTTCTACACCACCATTTTAAATGGAAACGATAACACGTATTATATCGTTGAAAAATGAATTTTATATCTGATCAAATGGTCGAAAAAATATACAGAGTTTTATCAGAAACTTTCCCAAATTTCAAATGTATTCGTAAGAGTGGATGTCATCGACCTTACTCAGTTTCGTACTTTAAGAACAGTTGAGTCCAGTAATGCATTTGTGGTTCAGCCTAGCACCATTGATGAGACCTGCTGTGTCGAAACAGCGCTGTCTGGTGTCGAATCACGAATGCGTTGTGTTTGAGCTCTGGTTTTCAAATTTAAAAGTTAATAAATATCTCCCGATCTAATGTTTTTCGAACATGACGTAAACAACAAATTCATAGTTCTGTTCTTCATAGTAACTCAAAGAATTTCTGTAACTTAGCGATATACGAGTATCTTAGAGTAATTAACACGGTACAATCAAATACAATATCAGGATTGAGTGAGATTACCTATTTTTTTATTTGATGTAGTGAATATCGAGAAAAAAATTCATGAGAAAATTGGATGAAAACGAATGTCAAGCATTTTTCACTTTTAAGACTGATTATGTATACTGTAGTATGTTTATCAAGAATTGTTTTGAGTGTTTGTACTGTGAGGCTGAAAATTCGATATTTGTAATGAGTTTGTGTTATCTTCTTTTGGACTAGGACATTCTTGGGTATAGTGATCGTTACAATAAAAATTAATTTGCAATTGGCGTCCTGCTTTTTGTCACATTTACCTGATCTCCCGATTCATTTCACTTAAAGAGAACAATTGAAACCTCTATCACTGTATGGGAACAGAAGGATGCCATTCTGAACAATTGAAACCTCTATCACTGTATGGGAACAGAAGGATGCCATTCTGAACATTTGGTAAAGTGAAAAACTTTAATTTTCTCCCTTTTGTAAGGTAAAAAAAGCAATGTTGTGTGGTATTAATGATTTTATTTAAAAGTTGATGAACACCTTTCCTACTTAATTTTACAAAATCAACAGGTCACAAATAACATTTCAAACACTGGAAGAACTCATGCGAACTCGTGTTTCCTCCTTTTTATAAAAGGGCACGTATGCCTCTTCACTCACAGGCAATTTTGATGAAATTGGTGACACGTGTAAATCATTCTATTCGTGCCGCGTGCCAGTGTGGGGATGTCTGCAGTATGCTGTGCAATGTCCGCTTTAAGTAGACCTCCGGTTATTCAAAAGTGCATATAGATTATAACGACAAGGAGTCATATTTTGCAGTTGCATAATTGCTCATATTTAATCAATCTAGAGGAAATTCGATGGCAATATTCAACTTGCCTCTAAATGTTTTTTCAAATGAATAACTAAATACGGGGAATTTTATGGATTAATAGAGACTTTGTGCATTTTATTCTTTTCTTGTAACTCGAACACGCCGGATTTTCATGTCTATTCAAAGTTTTCTCTCTTGTGAAGAAATCCAAGCATTTTAATCAACTCAATTGACCAGTTCTTTATGATATGGGGAGATACAAATTCCAGAAAAGGATCTAAGGTTACTGATGTGTCTCCACAGTATGTCCACTTCATCGTGGATTTTAATTGACCAGTTTGAATTATATAGAATTTATACGTAGAATATATAGAATTTATACTCAAATATCTCAGCCATAACTCAAGTGTTTTTTCGCTATCGCTCAATTTTTTTTAAATTCCCATTAGGACCGGTTTAGGTTTCTCATTTAATTCTTTCAACGCCATCTGTGTTCACAAATGTATCAGATGGATCTTCTAACACCAATTCTTTGATAACTTATGCGAACGCTTTGATACTAGAAATACTAGTATTGATATCTCTCATATATTCACCCTTTTTAAAATATTCTAGTAACCATCTCGTGTTGATAAACATTGGATAACACTATTCATGAAACAGGTGTTGCCAATATTTTCCAACCCATTAACCCACATGGGTTTTGACTGTAGAATGTATTAATGGTCTAATTTTGTTGTAGCTGTTGATGACACGTTCTTTCGAGTAATCACGGATGCGATGATTCTGCCATCATTGGATCAACGGCATGAGAAATTTAAAGTTAAACTGCTTGAAATTGAATTGGATAGATTCATGGTAGATTTTTCGACTTTGTGAGACAATCATAATTTCGCAACTTGTTTAAATTTCTCTGCATCTTCTTAGAAAATCGAGACATGTTCAATCCGTTTTGGGTAAATTACAGGAAATTTTGATTTGATTTGTAGGTTCAGGAATATCTCATCTAATTTTTGAGTAGACGGAAGAGTACCCAATACTGATGTGGTATTTACCCCTTTGAATGGCAATTTTGATTCTTTGAATTGAAAATGAGTAGGCTTGGTTGTCATCAGTAGAATTCGTTATTCTTCTAAAAATGAGTACGCTTGGTTGTCATCAGTAGAATTCGTTATTCTTCTAAACATGTCTTTCTACAATTCAGAAGCATGAGATCCAAAAACTCCAAAGGTTTCAATTGCATCAGGAAAGGAACAGTAGGAACTTAGCAAAGTGCTGTCTGTAACCATAGTAGCTGCACCACTGAAATTAGGCTTTGCCGCAAGATGTGTCTGCACAGGTCGAGTCCCAAACCAAAAGTTTCTCAAATTTCCAAAGAATTTCATCCCGTTTGGACGCTTTCCATCATGTTAAAAGACACCAAAGGGTTAAAGAACTGAAGGAACCTCTGTAGTGGCTGCAGTGCAATGCAGATCATTAATGAAACGATGTCGTGAAAATCAGCCAGAACTAAGAATATTGCTATCAGAAAAAACAATTTTTCGAATTTACGCTCATTTTTTTTTGCAGTCATACCTACCATCTTTTGAAATTATTTTCTGGCATACAGGGTGTTCCATTTGAAAAAGTTGAATAAAGTCTGTTTGAAAATAAATGGAACTTGACCGGTTTTACCGAGCACCTTATATATTGTTTCCAAAAGTTGAGATTTCGGAAATTATCATGGTGATGTTGACTAACTATTCCTAAAAAAATCCACTCAATCGCTGTAGTCATGCGGTTGGTGAATTAAAAAAATATTGTCTACAAAATAGGTTTTTCTGGAATAGCTTGGCAATGCCGTAATAGAAATTCAAAAACAAAAATTCCTTAGAGAGCAAAAAAATATAGAATCGAATGACGTATTCACATACTGGGTGTTCTATTTAAAAAAATATAACTTTGCTTGACCACGCTTGGCTGAATCACCCAGTATGCGAGAAAATAATTTTTTAAGATAATATTTGTCAATATGACTGCAAAAAAATTGAGTAGTTCGAAAAATTGTTTCCTCTGATAGCAATGGACCGAGAAAATTTTGTTGACTCAGTCCATGTATGCGAAGCCCATGGTCATACTATTTCATTTCTTCCCCCTTATTACTGTGAATTCAATCCAAATTAGATGATGTGGGCTGCTGTAAAAAAACTGAGAAAATATAATCAGTCTCCAACAGATAGTGATTCTGTACTAGAAAATATATGAACGGTTATTAATAAATTAAACGACAGTGGTGAATATATGAAATGTGTTCAGTAAGTCATAGAAGAGGAAAATGAATTATATCACGCCGCTCATGCCATACAAAGAAACTGCCGACGTTCAGTAACTATTTAGTTTTCATGCCATTCGAATTGACTTCATACACATATTTAGAAAATACATAAAATAAATCATGACCAATATTTAGTATCGAGTAGGTCAGAAAAATAAGAGTACCAAGACATGGAATAATAATTGCTCAGATATGAAAATATGGAAAACAATTCAAATGAACCCATTTAGGTTAATAGCAAAATACCACAAAATCCCTTTCTATTCCTTATATCAGCAACAGGTATCCACTCCACAACCCAAAATAAACTATTATCTCTACATAGTTTACATTAGATAAGAATGAAATAACACGGTCAGTTCGACTTAAACTTCAACAGTGCATGGAGCTGCTGGTGGACTCTTAAGTGACCGTGTTTTTGAAAACTAAAATGGAAGAACGGACTTTTGTTACTATCTCATATGTATTTTTCACGTGCTTCATGCCCTCCTCACATTCTAGTGAATATTTATAACAGTGAATCAAGTTTTGTTAGGCACTTCAAGACTAATAAACAGAAAACATGGACTTCTGCAACTACGGCACAGTTAATAATAACTCTTCATCCATTGGGGATGACGAGGAAATCGGTTTACTTCCCAAAATTGTCGAAGGAAATCGCAACAAAATTATTGGCATGGAGAAAACTTCCTTTCGGTTTTCACTGTATTTATTTGCTTATTTCATGTTTTTGTGTAGCGGAGCAGCGGTTTTCAGTTACTTTGAGGCACCTGAGGAACGGGCACTGAGAGTTAGACTTGGAACAGCAGTACAAAAATTTTTGGTGTCTAATCCTAACGTTACAGGTCAGTTTTCAGTAAAATACAATCTTAGGCGTTTTATCTATGCTGTGGGCACTACAGCTCAAATAAGTAAAAGAGGGGTTTCTAAATGTTTGGAAAAATCATAGGACTAAGGTGGGACTTATTCAAAAAACACTTCATTGAGAGATTTTTACTGAACCGTTTTACAAAAACGCAACACGTGTTTCGTCGTACAATGGCTTCTTCAGGTGTTTCAGGTGAGACTGGTACATTTGTTTGGATACGGCTAATAAAAGCCAGATTTCAGGGGTTTAAAAATAGGTATCAAAACATGAGTATTAAAAATAAAATATCAATTATTCCAGTTCTATCTAATATAATTCTCTATCAAAACTTTTTACACCGATAAAAAATGTAAATTACATAAAATATGTACTCAATATGTACTAGAACAAAAAAACAAGTCAACAGGAGTGTATATCGATAAAAAACAGGAGTTTCCTCGTTTTCTTTGAAAGTAAAATGAATTGTAATCGAATTAATCATATTGTAAAAGTAAAGAGGATAATAGAATATTTACCTATGAAAAAAGTTACATACATCTATGTATAATCTTGTTTACCATAATCATTTTTTGAGTTTTTTTCTTCAAAATTATCTTGATAAGACTCCTTGCGTAAACAGTGGAAAAGTTGAAAGAGTTTCAAGTTCGAAAGCATCATGTTAGCTCATTAACAATTTTTGAAAATTATCTATTTGCTGTGTTGAATAGCTAATTCAAATTCTTTTCTACATAAAGTTATGTCGAAATATAGTCGATGGATTGGCGTTCAACAAAAATGAATAATTATGACTATCTCGCCATCTACCAGGAAAACTTTCTCCTGTCATGACTTCTAAAATTAGAATCCGAAAACTGTCACTTGAGTATTCAGAAAATTTCTTGAATATGTTTACAAAAGTATCCTTAATTTCTGTCATAGGTCTCATCAGCAAAGTTGGGCTAAACCACGATTTATTGTGGGAGTCAACTGTCTTTGAAGGTCAAGCCTGAAAATAAGTAAACATGGGCATCTTCCCTTACGATGACGCCATCTTTGAAATAATAATAATAAACCAGTCTCCAAAAGACGATCAATTGTCCATTGTAGATCCAAACTCCGACACGAGTCTTCGCGGTTTTGAGACGCTAAGTTATCATTAGTGCTGCTAGGCTGAATCTAGCTAGGCTAGATTCAGCCTATCTACGGAACGAATAATAATGATACTGCAGTATAGTTTTCTCCTTCTCCTTCCTCTAAGACTATGATATAAGGATTTATTGTAATTTAAAATATTCAATTTTTTACCCTAAAATATTCCTCTAGAGTTATATCAAGTAAACGAGAAAAGATGTTTTTTGCGCATCAAACTATTCTTCATAATAAATAACATACAAAATGAATAACTGAAGAAAGATTGGTTGGATAACAGGATCAATTTTTTTAAAAAAAAACAACCAAATTTTCGAGACAACATCAACATAGAACGGCATGAAACAAACGTTTGATTCATGCCGTTTCGTGTTAGTGTTGTCTCGAAAATTTGGAAGTTGCAGCGTATTTTATTATTTTTTTAATGTATCTAATATGTCTACTGGTTTTTAAGATGGTAATATCAACACGAAGGAACTACTTTTCAAGCCCTAAACAAGAATTTAAGTAAATTCGAAACTTTGGCCAGAAAACATCTGTTATTTTAAGAAAAAATTGATCCTATCACCCAACTAGTCTTTCTTCAGAAAAATTATTGGATCACTAAACTAGTTACCCAAAATAAATAACGTACATTCTATAAAGCAAATGTTGGTTCATAAGGGAAAATGACTGACAATATTTCTGTAGAACAATGGAGTGCCGCTGTGAAACTAGTACTCTTTTAAACTCAACAAAAGCGATTGCCAACATGTTTTTTATGTGGTAGTAAATACCATGATTACAAATTACAGAATTAAGGTTTAGAGATCTCTGATACGTGTTCTGTTATTATTTTTGAGAGAGAAAATTCTCACTGTTACTTATATTTTCATACTGGAAACTATTTGCCTGATTTACACAAAACATAATATGGTCGGAATTCCGGAACATATAAATTACATAACCAGGCGAATAACAGAAAATAATATATATCTTTCTGTTCCAAAAACAAGTCAGACAAAGTAGTCTTTAATTCAATTTGTTTTTTACATTGACACCTATACTTTAAATTATATTTTATACTGGGATATATCTTATTTTATTGCCATGACATGTAAACTTACGTTCAAATTGTGTATATTTGTTTTTTACATTTTTTTGAAAGGGACTATACAAACTATTTTGTCTACAAACTTTGTTAAATTTTATTTTTGATTATTATATGTTATCTATTAGATATGTGAACTTAGTTCTGCTCAAATCGTGTTTCGTTTTTGGCTATTTGTGTTTTTGAATTGTTTGAAAGGGACTATACAAACTATTTTGTCTACAAACTTTGTTAAATTTTATTTTTGATTATTATATGTTATCTATTAGATATGTGAACTTAGTTCTGCTCAAATCGTGTTTCGTTTTTGGGTATTTGTGTTTTTGAATTTTTTTTTCTTTTATTCCTTGAAATGCTATTCATACCAGATTTGTTAACAAGCTTCGTCAATAAGATGGTATATTTTTGGACAACAAAGTATATGTATATCTATCTAAGGAAAAATTGTAAAATTGAAGTGAATGTAGAGAGCTTCTCTATCCTTCATATTCGAATTTGAAATTTCCAAACAGTCGTTTTAACGTTAGACATAGATATTTTAAAACAGAGGAACATATTCATGTTCAAATGAAATGACGAATATTAATTTGAGAAAAAATGATTTCGAACAGAGTAGTAAATAAATTATGAAATTCTGCTGTCGCATCTTTGTATTAACTGGAATACTGACATCATCATAATAATTTAAGATTGCATGTTGTCGAGTAGTAAAATCACTTTTTAAATTTCAATGAATAACATATAGATAAACCCCCAACTGACAGTATCGCTAGAAAGTACAAGAACCTTTGATAATTTTATCTGGTTTATAGCGATAGTGTCAAAAGTTATCAACACATGTGGTATCTCACTACTCTCAAAAATATTGATAATGCTTTCTTATGCTTTGGGATATGATAGACTGCGCGACCCCGACTTTGTACTAATCGTTATGAAATAAATATCTTTCTGTAAAACAACATCGTTAACCGTTGTATTCAGTTGTAAAAGAATGCCAACGGGCCATCCGTAACGTCTTTGTTTTCTGTTTCACGTCACTATATAGTATTAAAAAGTTTTATTAATAAGCAAGAATGTAATCATTGTCTTTTGTGTCAGATATGTTGGGTAAAGAAGTGAATTACGTCTACACACTGCATACCAGAATTTCTTCGAATGTTCAGACTCCCATTACCTAAAATCATGGATGGCTGAATTAAAACGATATACTCTTTATCAGTGTGTCAACGTTTTGGGAAAATATACGAAGCTGTCGATTGTTGATGAACGATAAATAAAAAAAGCATTTTTACAATCATTCATAATGATTTTGTTTTGTTATTGATCATCGCTAACTTTGGAATTTGATTGAGTCCATCGTGATCGTACTCAGCTAATTTTCAAGTACAGATTCGATCACAAAGATGAAAAAAATACTCAATTCCAACTTTCGAAACCGTTTTGTTAGATCCAAAGTAGTAACTCGAAAATAACTACATAATAATCCCGTTATTTGAAAAAGGCGATGAAACAGACATTATCAACTACCGACCCATATCACTCACTACACACCTGAACAAAGTATTCGAAAAAATCATAAAAAAAGGATAACATGGTATGTCTCAAAATATAATATTATATCTGACCATCAATTTGGGTTTCGTGAACAATTATCTACCCAAGACGCAATCTTTGCTCTTACTTCAGAAATATAATCTGCTCCTAATGAGAATAATCCGTGCCTATGCTTTTTTATTGACTTGTCGAAAGAATTCGACACAGTTGACTACAACCTTTTACTGAAAACACTAGAAGATATTGGTATAAAAGGTGATGCTCTGAACTTATTCAAGAGCTATCTCGCTAATAGACTTCAGTGTGTAAAAATTGATGACATTTTGAGTGGTATACAAGAAACTGTTGTAGAAGCCCTCCAAGGCACAGTTCTGGGGCTAATTATTTCAACGTATATGTTAATGGACTATATTTCATCAGGAGCAGAGGTAAAATTTTGGGCTTCGCAGATAATACAGCCATTTTCTAGAAGGCAAATAGCTAGCAGCAACTGGAACATCTATAGTTAAATCGGATCTGGTTTTGATTAAAAATTGGCTGTAACATCGATTATTGACAGTGAATCTGGAGAAAACTCACTATATACCTTCCAGTTGCAATAATTCCAGCTAATCTTGTTTTTTACAATTGAAAATTGATCAATATGTAATACTTCCCGAAGCTAAAGTGGAATACTTAGGAGTAATAATAGATTCACATTTTAAATGGGATATGTTCATATTCAGTATATTTGTAATAAGTTGCGTTGCATACTTTTTAAATTTGAATTTTTGGTAAAAAAATTAACGAACTTTAACCTCAACATTTTGTACCATGCACTTGTAGCGAGTCACCTGAGCTACGGAATTGCTTGTTGGGGAGAAAACTACCATACGCACCTTCGCCCTATTGAGATGCTCCAAACAGGTTCCTGTATAATACTATTACTGATTAGATAATACTATTCCTGAGGAGATAATACTATTCCTGAGGAGATTCGTACTCTCCGAATAATTCACTTGTTTGAAAAAAAATTAAGACTATTCATTTTTTCTCAACCTAGGATAGTAGTTTCCGATTTTGTTGACAGAAAAAATCTTTGAATTCAATGTACATGATTAGGTACTATCATGTCAATTTGGAAACCACACGCTACATCGTTTTATTTATATTATATATTTTTTTCTGTTCCAATTATTGTGTCATTTTCTTTTACTCGTATATAA